CCTCCCCCTCCCCCTCCCCCTGTCCCCTCACCTAGGTCCTCCTGCTGCCGGCAGGCCTTGCTGAGGTTGACGGAGGTGCAGACCTTCTCCATGTTACTCCAGCGACTGCGTCCACTGATGGCCCCCTGGGAAGGCAGCAAAGCCAGACCCTCTCAGCGGCATGGCCCCCGGTGCCTATTGCCTTCTCTTTGAAGAAACGGCTCCAGAGCGGCCAGCGACAAGGCGCCGCCTGCAGCCAGCACACCCAGGAAGCTCGCTCTCATTCACCCGAGCCTGCCAGCTTCCTTACCGAGAGCCCCTTGACCCCTATATGGACCTTACTGGCTCCAAGGAGGAGCATCAGGTCACTGGCTTGGTCCACAGGTCAGCCTGGAGACTGGGTCGTAGGGTGCGAGTGCTGAGACCGTCTCAAGGGGTGGTCTGAGGATCCTCTGAACCCCGAGTGAGGGAGAGAAAGGCTCACGGGCAGGGGGTCCCAGGCAGAGCTGGGCCGGAGCCCCCTCTTTGGGTCTTTGTCTGAATGTCTCTTTCATCAGGGACCTCCGTGTTGCCAAACCCACAAGCACTCTCAGTCCTCGGCTTGCTTGACCTTACAGGAGAATGCCATCCTGTTCACTCCTCCCCTCTCCTGGGCGTCCGTGGCGGCACGCTCCTGGCTCCCCCACCGCCAGCCTGGCTGGGGCCTCCGCTTTGCGCCATCACCCTCCTCTGCCCGCATCACAGCACGCAGGTCTCAGGAGCTTCTCCTGGGGCCTCCGCTCTGTTATTCCTACTTTCTCCTTGAGGGAGCCCCACCCATGGCCCTTTCTCCATGACCACCTATACACCCATCTCCACATTTCACCTCTGAGCTCAGGCCCACCCTCCCACTGCCTGTTCTGGTCTCTCTCTCCCTCTCGAACCCACTACGCCCCACACCCACTCCCCCCCTGGAGCGGGGCTTCTTCTGAGAAAATGGTCCTGTCAGTCGCAGAAGGCTGAAATCCAGGAGTTGGAGCCCCTCCTTTTCTAATCCATCCCTAAGCCCTGCTGCTCATGTGATTCACATATAACCCCCATTCCTTTCCTCCCTAGTGCAGGCTGCCCATGTTTCTCACCTGGACAACCACGGGAGCCTCTGACTTGGCTTTCCCACACCCGCTGGGGTCCCCTCCGATATTCCCCACAGAGCCACCAAAGGGGCTTCCAAACCTCAAATCTGATCCTGCCACACCCCAAACTGAAAGCCCTTCACAGGATACCCATCGCTCTTAGGACGAGGACAAAACTCCTCTCACTGAACCAAGGCCCTTGGCATTCCAGCCCTGCCAATTTCTTTAGCTTCACCTCATCATCCTTTCCCCCTCACTGTCTCTGCTCCAGCCCCTCTGGTCCTCCTACAGTGCCCTTTGATGTTCATGTTCTCTCTCACCACAGGGCCTTTGCACATGCTATTATCTCTACCTGGAGGGCACGTCTCTCTTCTTTTCCTACCTAACTAACTCCTGGTTTTCTTTCCAACATTGACTCGGTGGCCCTTCTCAAGGAACCTTGCCTAACTTTCTTCACTGGGTTGAACAATCCCCTTAAGGGTTCTCACAGAACCCTTTACCTCTCCTTTATCTGTTCGTCACAGTTGTAATTATACATGTTGTGGCACTGTCTAACCCCTCCAGACTGTAAGAGCTTTGCTCACTCTCGTGAACGCTCCTGTGCCATGAACAACATCCGGGACTCAGTGGGTGTTTAACGAACACCCGGAACACAGCACCCAGTGAGCGTCAGTGCCCCTGCCCACTTCCTCGGCCTCTACATGGAAAGAATCCTATTGTCTCTATCCCACCAGCCCTTTTGTTGCCTTGTCATCACTTGCCACTCTTTAACATGACCTTGGGCACTTTTCGTTTCCTTGTTTATTGTCTGTCTCCCTCCTCTAGAGAAGTTAAGAGGGAGGGCCTGGCCCAGCACAGAACCTGACGTGAGTAGGTGCTCAATAAATATCTTTCAAATTGCTGAGGGAGGGAGGGAGGCAGGAGGCTGCCCGTCCGGGAGGTGGGCCGGTCGCGGCCCAGAGCCGGGGTGTGCTCAGGGGCTCCCCCCACAGCTCCCCTCACACCAAACCTACTGCCACACCCCCACCAGGCACAGCAGTCGCTGGCCTGTCCCTCACTCTGCCCCATTCTCACCCCCAGCCCTGAGGCCAGGCCCCGGCGCTTCACGGAAGGGCTGAGCACGCTCAGCAGTGGGGAGAACCCGGGGCAGGGGCAGCTTTGGAGGCAGAGCGGGAGAGGAAGTTCCACCGCCTCTCCTTCCCCCCCTGCTCTCAGCATCCAGGAGAGCCTGCGGAGACTGCCCCGCGGCCTTCCAGCTTAAAGAGCGCCCCGGGAACACAGGAGGCTGGCTCTGGGGAGGCGGCATGGGGAGCAGATCCCGGGGGGGAGGGGCCAGCATCAGTCTCACCTTGCTGTAAACAATCTGTAGTGTTAGAGGGATGGCCTCCCGGTCACCATCAATGCCCAGTCGCTTGCTGCCAGGACCTGTGCCACACACAGACAGACCCTCTGCTCCTTCTAATTCCAGTGCCCTTCACACTGGAGGCTCTGCCTCCCTGCCCGCTTCTTGTCCCTCCTGCCCCACCGCCCTGGGACCCCTCCTCCCCAGGGCCCCAGATCCCGGCCCACCTCCCTCTAGCTCTACCTGCAGGGGCCCCACCTCCTGGCGCCCTCTTGCCCCGCCACCTCAGGGTCCCCCTCTCCGGTGTGACACCCCCCAGCCCTGCCTCCACTGGGGCTCAGGCAGCGCCCACCCGAAGCCTTGATGGCGCGTGTGGCAGCAGAGTGACCCAGCTCCAGGGAGTGGATGAAGATCTCTGTCGTCTTCTCCCCGGTGATGAAGGTCAGCTGGAGAGGGCGGGAGCGTGGGCGTCAACGTGAACCCCCAGGAGGGGCCCCCGGCACAGGCTCCTCCAGCACAGGGCTGCTGGCTACCCGGGTGTGGGAGCAGCCCTGCAGCTAGTCTGGGGGAAGAGGTGGGGCCAGGCGGCAGGGCAGGCCTTACCTCGGTCTGATAGACCTGCAACAGCACCGGCCGGGCAGCGAAGCGGCAGTAATAGAGCAGCATGTCCGCCAGGATGGGCAGCTGGGCAGGAGAGCCCTCCAGGGGCCGGGACTCAGCCTTCAGAGACTGCTGTGGGTTGGGAGGGCCGAGCCCGAGCCCGAGGGCCAGGTGGACAGAGAGGGAGAGAGAAAGGGAGGATGAGAGGAAAGAGACAGACGTGCAGACACACAGAGGAGAGACCCCGAGGCAGACAGGGCCAGGGAGGGGCACGGTGAGATGGGAGCAGGAAACAGAATGGTCAAGGGAGGACCCACAGCCTGGCCTCCGCCCCTCCCTCACTGGCCCATGGGCCGAGCTAGACAAAGCTGGGGGTTGAGGAAGGGAGCTGAAGCTAAGGCAACTGGACCCTCTGGGCCCCTCCCTCTCGGTGCGGTGACCCCTCCCTGGGGCCCCGAGCCCTGGGTTCAGCTCAGCCCTGCTTCCACCCACCCTCCTTGCTCGGTCCCAAGTGAGCCCTGGTCCTCCAGTGGGGCCGCAAGCTGGATCCCCCTAACTAGGGCCTTCAAAGTGAGGCTGGGTGACCACAGACAGGGCCCTCCACGTGCACCCAGGAAAGGGGCCGCTTACCTGGCACAGGACTTCAGGGGGCAGGTGCATGAGGCCCAGCACGTTGCGCTCATACCAGGGGTCAAGCATGCCGAGGTAGTGGGAGATGTCATTGGTGCTTTCCTCCCAGGGGGCTGCACCCAGCTCCTGGGGCGGGGGCGCGAGTCATTCCCAGCCACCCGGACGCCTGCCACCCTAGCTTCGGGGCCCTGGGTGGCACCTGCAGTCCCACCCTGAGCTTCTCTGCGCCCTTGGAGAGGTCTGACAACTCTCAGTCCATGTCACACAGCAAAACGTGCCCCCGCACACCGTCCGGGGCGGCAGGAGGCGGCGGCCCCTAAACACAGGGCTGCTGGTGACTTCCGACCAGCCCCCTTCCGGGGACTGGGGCCTGCTTACATCTCCTCGCTTTGCCGCCCTGCTGGGCCCAGGGCCGGGGACCTACCGCAGGGCCGGGGTGCCTCGGGGAGTCTGTGGGGAGCGGCGGCGTCTGGCCCCGAGGGGCTGGGCTGGCGCTGGCGCTGGCGCTGGGCCCGCAGCTCCGCTTCATGGGCACATAGAAGAACTGGAGCTTGAAGAACCGTGTGAGGAGCGGACGGTTGCTCTCCAGCCGCCTGCTGAGAGGAAGATGGTGAGAAGGGAGGCCCTTGGTCCCTCTGGGAGCCCAGATGCCGCCAGCAGCACGCCGCTCCTGCTGCCCAGGGCAGACCGATGCCCCGTTCCGGCTCTCACCGCAGCTTGCTGTATGCCCGGGCCACCTTCCCCGAGATCCGATCGGAGCCGAAGACCACGACTCGCAGCGTGGAGGCCCTGGGGTCCTCCTCCCCGCTCAGGAAGGGGCAGCGGCGCTGGTGACGGGAGGCGGGGGCCAGGGACCAGCTGGGCAGCTGGGAGCCGAGCTTGTGCTGGGGCAGGGAGCGGGAACGCTGGGCCCGGGAGGGGGGCTGCGCCGGGCCAGCCAGGGGGCTGCAGGGGCTGCAGAGGCTGCCGGCCCGCCGCAGGGGCGGGGCGCCGTCCGGGCCGCCCTCCGGGGTCCGGGAGTCCCTGCGCAGCACCAGCTGGCTGGTGCTCTTGAAGAGTTTATAGATCCTGTTGAACTGCCCGGGCCTGTGGTGGGCCCGGCGCTCCTGGCTGCCAGGCCTCTTGGGCCACTCGAACGAGCTGTCCTGGCTGTCCTCCATGTAGCCGCTGTCCACACCGTCAGAGAGGCCCGAGACAAAAGAGCTCAGCAGCCGGTGGGAGAGGCTGGGTCCCGAGGCCTGGGATGAGGCAAGGGACAGGGTGGAGTCGTGCAAGGCTGCCGAGCTGGTGGAGAGCAGCGAGTCCCTCTCGGCACGATGCCCCTCGGTTTCCACGTCCTCCTCGTCCCCCAGGATTCCTGGTTGGAGCAGCTCCTGCTCCTTGAGCAGGATTTCCTGCAGGACGTCTGCAGGGAAGCAAGGGGAGACGCCGTCTGGGTGTCCGAGCCCTTGGAACCCCTCTTGCACACCCTCGGGCGGGGTGACAGGCTGAGACAGAATGAACTTGGGGAGCAGAGGGCAGCCCAGTGCCCTGCCCCCTGCTCTGCTCAGAGCCTGCTCAGGTGGGAGGGCTGGCAGGGGGGTGGGGTGAGGGGCAGCTGCAGAGGAATGAGAGCCTGGGCAGTTTGTGGGGTGGGCACCACGAGGGCCCCAGCGGGCTGCTTACCGAAGCTGTCCTGGTTCCAGCTGTAGGTGTAGCACCTGGCGACAGGGATGGGGATGGTACGGAGCTTGCCAGGTTGTGCAGTGTCTGCAGGAACGGGGGAGGGAGGGGCAGGAGGTGAGGGCTGAGTAGAGGCCTTGAGATGGGCCAGCCCAGACACCCCGTCTTGGAGGAGAGGCCAGAGTTGCGAGAGGACCGGTACAGGACACGCAGCCGGGTGGGCCGAGGCTGAGTTGGAAGCTGGGATGCCTGGCCCGCAGCCAGAGGGCTTCTCTCAAGCCCACCAGGTAGATGCCATGCCCTTTTGTGAGCTGCACGAATGTGGCCCAGTCTCAGCCTCTGCGCCTCTGGTTCGAACAGGAGAACCATGGCACCATCTCATCAGGCATCCCTTCTTCTATAATAGACGTTTCCTAGACCCACTGGGGCAAGGTGGGCCATGTGACTAAGGTGGCTCAAAGGGGTACGTTGTCTTCCTTGTGAGAACGAAGCCTCTTGCCCTTGATCAGCACTCTTTTCTTCCTCCCCCAGGCCGCCCCAGTGGTGATCTTGGCAGCCCAACCCTAACCCTGCAGACGGGAACTGCACCCTCGGGGATGCTGGAGCCAGGAGGTGTCAGAGAACCTGGGTCCCTGAATGATTATGTGGAACAGAAGCACCAGGCCGACCGGGGCTGCTCACCTGGGGGGCTGCCGGGGCCACAGGGGGAAATGGGCCTCACCCCCAGAGCCTCACCTAAGGCACCAAGGAAGCCGGCTTTCTCCCCCACCGCCTGCAGCTTGGTCCTGAGCCACTGCCGGGCCTCAGCTGCATCCCCGATGCCAGATGCCAGTTCCTGTGCTTCTGCCGTCTCCATGAAGATGTCCTCGAGCTCTGCCAGGGTCTTGGACTGAAACCCAGGGGGAGGCAGGCTTGCTCCCGAACCACGGCTCGGCCGCCCGACTTCTCAAGCTCCCGGTGACCAGTCCGTCCCCAGCCTCATCGCCTGCCACCACCCACGGCTGAGCAGGGAGCCAGGCCTCTCACTCAGCCCCTATTCTCCAGAAGTGGTCAGAAACAAAGGCCCAGAGCCAGAGCCCTGCAGAGTTGGGAGGGACTTCAGAGCTCACCGCTGTGGCCCACAGAGGGGAGGGCGCTGCCCAGGGCCACACAGCTGACCTGTCACAGAGCTCGGACTAGACCCCAGGGCTTCCAGCTTCACTCTAAAGCTCAGTCCTGTACCACCCAGCCCACGCTGGATTCGGAGGCTCTGTGTCCAGTCCCACTGTCTAGGGTGCCACCCACCTGGGTTAGGACCCAGCACAATAGAAACCTCTCAATCAATGAGGCCAGCCCTCCAGCGACTTCGCCGCCATGTCACTCGGGGCGAGGGAGGCCAATGGACCCAGGCCTCGGAGAGGGACCAGAGAGGGGACACTGCCTTTGCAGAGAGGTGCTCTGCCGGGAGGGGGCAGTGCTGAGCCCAGGGTCCCAGACACATACCTGCAGCTGGCAGTGCAGACCTGGGAGGTCGCAGTGGGCCCCAAAGGTGGCCTGGAAGGCGTGCAGGAGCAGGGTGGTGTAGGCGCTGTGCGGGGAGTGCCCAGGCGTGCTCAGCTTGTCGGCCACGGTGAGGAACTCGGCCTGCACCTCCACCGGGTTCAGCAACAGTACGGTGCTGGGGGACACAGAGGACCGGCCACGGGTACTGGGCGCAGGGGCGGGGAAGGGCAGCCACAGAGCCCACGTGGGCCGGGAGGCCAGGAGAGAGGCTGGGGGCTCAGGGGTCCCAGTTCCAAGGGGAAAGCTTATGATCTACTTTTGAGTAGTTTTCAGCTGGGGTCTTCAAAGACCTTTTAAAAACTGAACTCGGGACTTCCCTGGCGGTCCAGTGGTTAAGACTTCTCCTCCCAGTGCAGGGGGTGAGGGTTCGATCCCTGGTCAGGGAGCTAAGATCCCACATGCCTTGGGGCCAAAACCCGTCCCCCCCCCCCAAAAAAAACCCACAGAAGCAATACTGTAACAAATTCAATAAAGACTTTAAAAATGGTCCACATCAAAAAAATCTTAAAAAACGGAACCCAATTTTCACAAATAAATTCTACCTTAATTTTTACATAAAACATTTTTCCTACAGGATATTTGAGCAGATGCAAGATGACGCAGAAAAGGATTGTATTTTAGGTGAGCTGACTGGAAGTCAGGCGGTCATTTTGGGAGGGGACAGCGGGACAGCCACATGCCGTCGTTGTGGTGTGGCCTGAAATTTCAGCCCGAGCCCTGCTCCTCAAGCCAAGGGCCGGGGTGTGGGGTGGCATCTGCCAGGAGGAAGGGGAGTGAAGTCAGGGCTGCATCTGATTCCTCTGCTTACAGGGGATGCCCTTTCTAACCTGCCAAAGCCATCACGCAGGCCAGCATCGGGCTGGCGGAGGGAGTGTGCATCCAGCCACGCCCCACCCCCGCCTCCTCTTCCCCTGGACCCTGCGCTCCCTCTTGATGCCAGTGTTTAAATGTCTTCATCACGGAAATTTCAAACATACACACATGTTAAGAGAATCGTGAACCCCGAGGATCCATCACTGAGTTAACAGTTATCATACGTCTGTTCGCATTTCACCCCGGCCAACCCCCGATCCCTGCATCTTCTCGAAGGTATTCCAGCCATCGCAGTATTATACCTGTAAAGGCTTTTAGTATGAACTGCTCACACTTGCTCTCGTTCTCTCACAGATCTGTGCTGTGTTTAAACCCAGTGCCAAGAAGCACCAGGCAGGTGGCCTTCCTGCCAGTGTCTGTGGACAGAGGTCCCAGAGCCGGCCCTGTGGCCAGGGCTCAAGAATGGGACCAGGCTCTGTCAGAGTTCCCAGGGTTTAGGGAGGAACTCATTTTGATTTCTCTATTTGTGAGAAAAGGGGGTCGGGCTCAAGCAAACGGTCCCTCACTGAGCTCTCCTCCTTCACCGACTGCTGGATCATCCCCTTATGGACATGCATTGAGCTCCACTGTATACAGGACCAGGCCAGCCACACCCGGGCCCTCACCACCTGCACCTCCGCTGCACGTCTGTTCCCAACCTACAGAAAACCAAAGCGAGACCGACTCACTGCTCGTAGCTCTTTCTATGAACCTGTCCATGCCTCAGTTTCCTGATCTAAAAAAAATATCTTCTTTCTCGCAGGGTTAACAAAAGGCCTGTATGATGGGAGTGATGCCTGCAACAGTGCCAGGGCTCCGGAAGCACCTAGAAGGGCGCTGGTGATAATCCACCGTTCACCTACCTCAGCCCTCTGGCAGGGTCCTGCTTACTTACTAAGCCAACATTTACAAGACATTTTTTATGCCCTTTCTGTCTCTCTCAAAATCTACCACTGGCTTTTCTGTTTGTTTTTACCGAGAAGCAACTCAACCAACGTTTGCTCAGTGAATGTGCTGTGAACCCCTCAGACTGAGGATGGGGGGGGGGGTGACTAGAACTTCTGAGCTGGTGGAGGCTGGGGTCTTCAGGTGCCCACGTGCTTGGAGGCTTGCCGGAGGGTCCTTGGAATGGAGGCTTCCTCTCTAATGCCTTTCCGACAGGCGGGGACCCAAGAGTGGGTAACAAAATCACTTCAGGGATTCACAACCAGAACAGCCTTTTAAGTGAAATGGACTAGAGGAGATCAGAGCTCATCCTTGGGAGAGGGTCTTTCATTTCCTAAAACTTGTCTCAGCTCTGTGTGTGTGTATGTGTGTTGTGTGTGTGTGTGTGCGTGTGCGTGTGTGTGTGTGTGTGTGTGTATACACCAGGCTTTCATATAAAATGCATTTTTTATTGTAGGTCCCAGTCAAAAAAGTTTGGAAAAACGCTGTTTTACCATCAGACAGAAAGACATTATGGAAAGAGCCTCGGCTTTTGAGGAAGTCTAAGGCTCAAATCCTGACTCAGACACTTACTAGCTGAGTGTCCTTGGGGAAGTTACTTGGCCTCTCTGACCTTCAGTTTCCTCATCTAAAAAATGGGGGTAAAGTAAGGTAATGTATGTTCGCTCAGCACCTGGCACAATCAAGGCAGGTGGTTTTTGGTTTTTTTTGCGGTACACGGGCTTCTCACTGTTGTGGCCTCTCCTGTCGCAGAGCACAGGCTCCGGACGCGCAGGCTCAGCGGCCATGGCTCACGGGCCCAGCCACTCCACGGCATGTGGGATCTTCCCGGACCCGGGCACGAACCCGTGTCCCCTGCAGACTCTCCACCACTGCGCCACCAGGGAAGCCCAAGGCAGGTGGTTTTTTTTTTTTTTTTTTTTTCTTGCGTTCTGCGGGCCTCTCACTGTTGTGGCCTCTCCTGTCGCAGAGCACAGGCTCCGGACGCGCAGGCCCAGCGGCCACGGCTCACAGGCCCAGCCGCTCCGCGGCATGTGGGATCCCCCCGAAACGGGGCACGAACCCGCGTCCCCTGCAACGGCAGGCGGACTCTCAAGCACTGCGCCACCAGGGAAGCCCAAGGCAGGTGGTTTTAACCTTTTCCTTTTTTTTAAGTCTCAGACCCATTTAGGAATCTGATGAAAGACCCTTAGCCCTGAAAAAAGAGGCTGTGCACAAAACATGACCCCACCCCCCAAACTCCTCCCTCCCCAAGAGCACTCACACAGTGGAGCTGCGATGACTCCTAGTGGACAGGCCCTGCTCGGCCCTCACCAGTCGCTGGTAGGAGATTCCTGTGGTCAAAAGAACAAACACAAAAGAACAGTTCACGGACTTACCTGTTACTTCAGCAGCCATGGCCCTGCGCCTCGCAGGAGCCTGGCACTGGAGAATCTGGCTGGGAGTGCCCGGATGAGGGTCAGGACAAGGGGCAGATTAGGCCCATTGCCACCAGGGTCTTTAACTGTCTGATTCCCAGGCCCCACACGCCCTGCAAAGCTTCACTCTTCAGAGACTGCAGGGCAGGGCACCCTGGGAGGAGACCGAGGCCCCTGAAGCAGCCGGGTCTCCTGCTATCCAGCTGGTCCTGGTTCTGTCCCCGCAGACCCGGTCCTGGGTGACCTCCTGCAGTGGGTGTGCCAGGCACCCCTCAGCTCAGCCTCAGCTCTGGCCAGCCCCCAGCCTCCCCCTCAGCCTCCCGGCCCTGCTTCCCACATGCTCTCGGGGGGGCCCTCAGGGGCCCGTGGTCCTGCCTGGCGCTGTCCCTCTCTAGGGCTGAGCCTCTGCACCAAAGACCCCCTCCCCGCCTTCCTCTCTGGCCTCATCCACCTCTCTGTCACCTCTGTCACCTCTGATTCAAATGTGCTGAGAAGAAACTAGCCAGAGTTCTCCCTTTGTCCCTGCAACTTGACTCAATTCTGTAGCTGGAAAAGTACGTATTCAGTTCTGCGTCAGCTACGGTGAGGCTGTTACATAATGGCTTGCGCTCCTCACTGATGAGGCCGGGATTCAGGGGGACAGGCAGCCTCCTTGTTAGAGCCTGGACATCGTCACAGGGGCCCTGCCGGGTGTGGACCAGGGTGTGAGCTGGGAGCAGAAAGGCTGCCCCTCGCAGAAGTGAAAGCCAAGACTGGGGTTAGAGACGGCTGTAAACAGAAGGGACGTGACTTTTGTTTAGTAAATGGCCGAACATTTCCAATTTATAGTATTCCAACTTAGGGCCTAATTTGCTTTGCTTTGCTTTGCTTTGGGGGCCTTTCACTTGGTGTGTCTTCCGTGTAATTGTCACATGTTTAGATGTTAATGTTACGTCTATTTTGACAGGCAAGTCCCTGAAACAGGGATTACTATGAGGACTCAGGACGCCATCTGGTGGCCGCTCACAGACATGAAAGAGAAAAGTCCCCTCGTGGCCCCCTCAACGCCCAACAAAGTGCTGCAGGAGTGTCCCCCGCACCCCAGTCTCCCCGACCCCCAAAACACACAGAGAGCAAAGTCTTCTCTTGACCCGTCACACTTTTCTTTTACCAGCTAATGGTTTTAACGGGTAACGCACGCCCTTCTGACCCGCTGCCGGCCCCGCCCCATTTCTGACCCTGTAAACGCAGGCCAGGCCGGGGCCACACTCCCGGGGGTACTGTTGACCACTTCCTCCTTGAAACCTGCTCTTCCCTTTAGTCTCCATGACGAGGAACATTCTCTAACATCCTCTATCTCTCCACCTGCGTATCTTAGGATGCTTTAATGGTCTCATTTGGGGATTATGGCATCATTAGCGCTGGGAGTTGCTGTTTGCTTGATTTTGTTGTATTAGTGGGGGACCCAGAGGGCGTTCTTTCCAGAGCTGGTTGGCCAGTGCTGAACAGCCCGGATTCCAGCAGCATCAGCTGAAACTCTCTACCCTTCTCCCAGAGACACCCATCAAATCCCCCTCTCCTTGGCTTTTTTTTTTTTTTTTTTTTTTGCAGTATGCGGGCCTCTCACTGTTGTGGCCTCTCCCGCTGCGGAGCACAGGCTCCGGATGTGCTCCGGGCGCGCAGTCTCAGCGGCCATGGCTCACGGGCCCAGCCGCTCCGCGGCACGTGGGATCTTCCCGGACCGGGGCACGAACCCGTGTCCCCTGCATCGGCAGGCGGACTCTCAACCACTGCGCCACCAAGGATCCCCCTTGGCTTCTCTTGCTAACGGACCTCCACTTATTGGGGAGCCTCAGGGCACTGGGCGCCTCTCCCCCTCTGACCTTCACTCCTTCGACCCTGGGCATCTAGGCAGACGGGAACGCTTTTCTGGGACTGGCTTTCTTAGATCAAGGCTGGCCCAAGGGCTGAACAAAATACCCACCTAGGCAGTTCCGTGTCAGGTCCTAATACGTAAGAAATGGAAAGGGCCCCCGCATACGGGCGAGGGATGGGTCCTGGGAGCTGGGAGCCGATGGTGGGCAGCCACGGTGAAGTTCAAACGCCTCGCCCAGGCACGTGAGCCCCTTTGTAACTGAGCTTTGTTTACCCACCTGAGCTTCCCCTCTTTTTCATTTTTAAAGTTGTTTTATTTATTTTATTTTTGATGGAAGTATAGTTGATTTACAATGTTGTGTTAGTTTCAGTTGTACACAACTTTGTGTTGTGTACAGCAAAGTGATTCAATTATATATACATACATATATACATATCTACCTATTCTTTTTCAGATTCTGTTCCATTATAGGTTATTACAAGATATTGACTATGGTTCCCTGTGCTATACAGTAGGTCCTTGTTTATCCATTTTATACATAGTAGTGTGCATCTGTTAATCCCAAACTCCTAATTTATCCCTTCCCCCCTTTCCCTTTTTTAAAGTGGTGACTAGAAATGGCCATTCTGCACAGGACAGCTGACTAGGACGACAGAGGATGCATGACAATCACCCTGGTGCCACCGAGCAGGAACTGGTACCACATTGACGACACTCTTACAGAACGTCCACGCTGAGGGCATGACACGGTGCCTGGGCATCCGTGCGGCGGGCAACAAGAACGTTGTCCGGGTTTGCTGGCTGTCTTCCCCTGAGAAGGTGAGCGCCACGATTCCACAGAGTCCTCAGGGCTAGCACGAGACAGGAGAGGCCCCGCCTTAGCTGCATTTCAGTCCCAGGAGGAGACGATGCTGTGCTCCTCTCCTGACCCACATCGGACCCTGACACAAAGCCTCCCAACAGCTGGCTTCCTCTTATGCTTTCCTCCCTTCTGGGGTCCCCTGGGCAGCAGTTTCCTGACCTTCATCTCTGCGACGGGCCTGGGTTCCAGAGAGTCTGTGGGAATCGGGGACTCAGGCCATGAGGCCTCAGCAGGCCCTGGGCAGGAAGGTGAGGCACGGCCTCAGGTGTGAATAAATCCAGGGTGGGGAGGATGTGGAGGGTGGGAAGGGGTGTGGCCTGAGCCAGGTCAGGAAGGCGAGAGGAAAACACAGGGGAAGGAAACCACTGGGCAGAACTACATGCACGCAGCGGGGATTTGGTTCTTGGCATAAACAGGCCAATGTAAAAAAAAAAAAAAAAAAAAAAA